CACACACACACACACACACACACACACACACACACACACACACACACACATACACACACACACACACACATATACATTTTCCGAAGAAAGGAGAAAAATTGTTGTTAAAAAGATATGGTTATACGATAAAGGAAAAGATGAGTTGATTAATTCGATCTTACACTAAGAGATTGTCGGACCCACCACTACAATAGGAGGCCTCCATACAGATTTACCTCTGTATGGTTACAACCCCAAGGATGCTTTTTGACCTTGGCTCCTTCCCCCCCAAGTCCTCTCTCATTTCCTCACGGGCCGTTCATTCCCATCTATCTCAAAGATCTCAGTTTAGATGTTTTGGTTATGGGTCGGGGTTCGAAAATCTCTTCTTAAAAATGAAAGCTAAAGTTGTTGTTTGGGCCCACCACCAAAACAGGAGGCCTCAGTATGGGATTGTTCCCATATGGACTGAACTTGGTCCTTTCCCTGCTTTGCCTTAATGAATCAGGCCTCGTGAAAGCAGTCCAATTATTTTATTTTCGGAATAATTCTCACCGCTCCCGCATTTTTTCAAATTTTTCTCTCACGATCCGCGCGCTATATAACAGTTGAAGTTTGAATCGTCAAACCCTCTTCGGTTCGACGCACTTCCATGTGTTGTGCATCCTATCGTCACTTTTTGGTGACGTGCGTGGCGGTGCATACTGTCGCCCTCTTCAATTGAAAGAATCTCCTTGTTGATTCTCATCTCCTCTCCGACGCTCTCGCTCTGTTCCTTTCCCCCCCCCCTTCTCTCTCTCTCTCTCTCTCTCTCTCTCTCTCTCTCTCTCTCTCTCTCTCTCTCTCTCTCTTCCCCTTTCCCCTTCCCTCTCACAAGCGAATCCTTGATTTTTTTTCCATCTTGAACTGATTGAAGCAATGAGTGGAGTTTCTTCGTCTTCGGCTTTCCGTGCGACGGTAATGCGTTTTGCCCTCTGGATGAATTCTCCCTCTCCCTCCCCTAAAGGTTTCTTCCTTCCCCAACCCCTCCCTTCCTCCCTTCTCTGAAGCTCAACAGTGAGCGTTGTCCCCTCCGGAGCGTAAACTTAGGGATGTTTTGTAACCCCTGAAGAGCCAATCATTTGGTGGGGATTGGCGAAAAGGCCTATGGGAACTCCCACTTAATCTCTCTTGTTGCGCCGACATATTTAAGGGCCGCTTGGCCGAAATAGGGCGCACTTTCTCTCTCTCTCTCTCTCTCTCTCTCTCTCTCTCTCTCTCTCTCTCTCTCTCTCTCTCTCTCTCTCTCTCTCTCTCTCTCCTCGCTCTCTTTCTCCCTCCCTCCTTCTCCCTGTCTTTCTTTCTCTCCCTCCTACTCGTTCCTCTGCCTTATTCAATCTAAAAAGGTTTTTGATGGATTGCTTGGTACTACTTAACCCCCCATTGTTGTGATAAATTGTTTGTTCTATGTGCTGTGTGCTCCCTGTTTTGATAGGAATTACTTGCTGCTTCCGAGATTTCGTCGCATTAATATGGAGGCTGCGGTTTTTGTTTTGGGGATCGTTGTCATCTGTTCCATCTTGTTCGCTTACCTCCTTTATTGCATACTTGGAGAGTGAATGTGTCAAAGCCCTTCACGTTCAGTTGTCGAAGCACTCGAATCGATCGCTAGGAGCTGCTGCTAGATCAAGGTGTCCCGTTGAGGGATCATGGCACTGATTCGGCGGCCTCGTCTACTAGTTGCATTGATCTCCATATACGCTACGCTCCTTGCTTCGATCGTTGTAATCACGCTTCCGTGGTTGTTGGTAGATTATGAAGTTGGAGTGTGTACAGCGGGTGCTTCTAGACAGGGATATGTCGGCGAGCCCAAATTCTTCCTTACTCTTACCCTCATGCATCTCTCTTTTATATCTACGATCGTAGTCCTGTTCTTTATGGGAGACATGCGCCCCTTTTGCTGCTTCTGCCATGGATACTTTGTGCATTCGAATGGTGATCCGTAGAAGTCGTTTTTTTTCTATCTCCCCTCCTGCCTCTTAAATCTGACGTGGAATACTCTTTGGATATGCGTTCGGATCGTCCCGCAGCTTCACCAAACTTCGTGTATAGACGTTTTGCGTTGCTGAAGTTGGGGTGTTCTTCCTCTATGATGGATAATTGTAGGAATAAGATTGTTACTTAACAGATCAGATCCGCATGAGCTCTCTCTCTCTCTCTCTCTCTCTCTCTCTCTCTGATGGATAATTGTAGGAATAAGATTGCTACTTAACAGATCAGATCCGCATGAGCTCTCTCTCTCTCTCTCTCTCTCTCTCTCTCTCTCTCTCTTGGACGCCTCTCATATTTAATCCCAACAAAAAGTTTGCTGACTTTTTCTCCTCCTGGCCTCCCTTGGCTTATGCATTTGGAGAATCGATGAGCATTTTGTTTTTAATCGGCTTTTTAAATTCTCGAATAAAGCATTGGAGATTCTCGTGGGTGCGCTGGGCTGCCTCGCTGTATATAATCGCCATGCCGATTGTCGCAACTCGCCGCGCCTTTTGGTGTGGGGGTTTAGTATCAATACTGCACACACACACACACACACACACACTAAGTTTTATGTAAGTCTGTCTTCCCCCTGTCGTCTGTCTTTCCTCTTACTTTTCTAAGTATTTTGTTGTGTGCCCAACTGAGCACCCTTAAGTAGTGTCAAACTCGGTGGTTCCTTCTTTGGAGTGCCTACTGCAATCTTAGGGGGGCCGCTCGGTTCGGGGTGTCTGTGTTGCCTATGGGTGATGACGGATGCTCGTCGAAGTGTCTCCCTAGCTCGGTGGGTGGTGGGAACCAACAGTTTGAGGGGTTCAATTAAGATGTGAGTAGGTCATGTGGCGCTCTGCTCCGTTTGGATGTCCGGACGGCCTCGTCTGCGCTCCACCGCTGCTCTGCTGCCTGTCCCACTTGCTTCACATGTGGTTCTTTGCAGGTTGATGTGTTTGATGTGTGGTGTGTCTATGTTGTTGGTGTTGCCTTGTGCTTTGTTGCTTCGCTGCCTTGCTGCCCTTCCTC